GGAAGTGGAAGTGAGGAATGCGAGTGTAGGGTCAAGTGGATGTGAAAATAGTGGTATTGGTATGAAGTGGGACAAAAAGTGCCACTGCATTCAGACAGTCGCGCCAACACCGCCACCACCACTACCACCACCACCAGCACTTCTTGTGGTGCTGGTGGTAGTGTCGGTAGCAGCAACAGTGGCAGCAGCGGCTGCTTTCATTTTTTAGGGAGGAGGACTTTTTCAGTTGTCTGCCTCAGACACGCATCTGCTGCGACTGCCTGTCTTCGTCTTTGGTGGTGAGGAGTTGGGTGTGGAGGGATTGGTTAGTTAAGGGGGATATGGAGGTAAGGAGGGAGGGAGGGAGAGAGGGAGGGAGGGAGAGAGGGAGTGCGTGTGGAGGGGGAAGACTGTGGACGTGGACGTGGATGCGGATGTGGAGAGGTGGGTGAGTGGGGGGGAGGGTGAGGACAGGTTAAAGTGAACATGAATGGAAGTGAGATTGTTGGTAGAGCAATCGGTGGTGTTGTGGTGGTTAGGCGAGGTCATTGCTACGTAAGGTGATGTAGATAAAAAACGTTGTGAGGGGAGGATGAGATGGTAGTTGAGGAACGAGAAGACGGATTGGGATTGACTGTGGAGATGAAGATTTACTAGAGTGAGAGCGACAAATGGGCGAGTAGAAGTAATGTTGTTGATTTAGTTCCCCAGTTTGGACTGAATACAGCTTGACCTTCTTTGCCACATATTTGTTGTACCTCCGTTCGAACTTTCAAGAGTTCGTCGTTTCCCCATATTTTCATATTTGTCTCGATTAAGACAAAAAATGTCCTTTCTAATCCTTCTGCTGTGGCATTTTAATGGTGGGAATAAACGAAACGTGTAGTCCTTGACTAAAGATATCCATTTACGTAGTTTTATGCTATGCACAACACTTCCGAGGACTAATTTCATCAAATTTTCCCCAACTGAGTTTGCTTTTATAATGATTCATTTAAAAAGTAAGTTAACACCACCAGGCGTCCCAAGCTATTCTTTATTTGTCGAGAGTTCCGACTCTCAAATAATTCTGCATTCGTCCAAATCGAAGTAACAAAATTGGTGAGGGGGCAATTTATTTACCAATTTGTCAAAATCTACGCTACTTTTTATTTTAAATTCCGCCTATGACTGAGATGTATCGGAAACTCTGAGTTTTCGACATGACAATGAAAGAATGCTCTTCACTTCATCTGGCAAATTTGAATTCCGTTGCTTCTAATGTCATTTACGATCACTTCACAATTAATACGATTGCTTCATGTAAACAAGGCGCATTTAAAATTATTCCAACGCTTCAGTGATTTAATATTGCTCTTTTCGACTTGATAATTTTCATTAAGCCAATGATTTGGAGAAAAAATTGCGATGTACTCAAATTTTCGCAGAAAAACATATATTTTCTCATTTGGGGAGTAATTTATTCGAATTACCGCCATTTCGAGAAATTATTTGGCTTAAAAGGTGTAATTACGTACGTATTTACTCGAAATTAGCGGTCTGCAGGTAAACTGTAAACTCAGAGCCTGGTTGATTGCACGTAGGCTGCCAACGTGCATACATACATGACGGGGAAGTATGTGCAATTCAAAGTTGGACGCGTCTGAGTGAAGGCTAAAACGAGAATTCCACGGTTTCAAATAGACATGCCTTAAAAAAGCTCACCAGACACTTTGGGTGTTACAAAAAAGAGACGATAAGGATGGAGAGAAAGAGGAGGAATGAAGGCAAAGACGTGTTAATGCGAGGAAAAGAAGGCTGGAGTAAAAAAGCCAGACAGACAGACAGGCAGGCAGATAGGACAGTTGCTCCCTATCACTGCTACTGCATCCGTTAGTACCTGCATAAGAGGAGAGGGTGCGTGTGAGAGGTAAAGGAAGAGAGAGGGCTAAAGCGAGAAATTCCTTTCAGGCTTTACAGGTGACCATTTATTTGTAGACCAATAATTCACACTCACCTCATTTCTGTGTGTCTTCCTCGAGGGTACGCAATTCCAAACCTCTTTGTAACGGGACCTGGTGTGCATAGCACATTCACTACCTTCATTGACACCCCGACCCTAGTGCTGTGGTATGTGGGGCTAAACAAGTCAATAAATAGACTCCTTTTTGAAGGAAAATAAAGGACGCATGTACGCAACGTGTGTTTGTGCGCGCTAATAGAGCTCACGCATTCCTTTCTACTTTCTGGTATGTGTTTGCATGTGTATTTGTGTATGTGTTTGTTTAAAGAATCCGTTTCATCACTGAGTAATGAGAGAAGCATTTTCGGACACCAAGCCAGACACACAGTTGAGTAATTTCCTTCCATGTCTAGAATGGGTCAGAATGACAGGGAGGCGGAAGGGCGTGTGTCAGACAGCGGTGTCCATTATGAGGAGTCCCATTTCGGTAAGTATGACTCCTCCCCTCCCCCGCCTTGCCCTTCGACACCATTTTTGAACATCGTGATTTGCAGACTCTTAAAAGAAACCTTCCCTTTCTTGGGCAAAGGTTGAAAGTACACGGTGCTGTCTGCCCAATCCTCTTCCTCCTCCTCTTCCACCTCCACTTATCAGACGCGATACACCTCGAAAAAAAAACCTCCATTTTTCTCTTATCTACGTAAGTAAGCGAATAAGATTTGGTCCGCATATTTCATATTCAGACAGTGTAAATTAGTCTTTCTCGTCGCTTTTCTTTTTCCCGCTGTCTGGTTTGAATACCGAAAAGGAAAACTTAAAACCAGACCTCATTTTATTGTCACGTATTATACTTTTCCTTAGTAAAATATTACTACAGTGGAGAAGTTGAGGTCAGGCAACCCTCCCTGACGTCTGACCCTGGTCGAAGTACAACAGGTCGCGAAGACTGCTGTCAACAACGTCCACCTCCCAACTGCTCCGTTTTGTGCACCCTTGAATTTGGTTCTATAGAGTGGAGTTAAAGTGGATGCCTAAAATTCACTCCATTTAAACAAATTTTCGCGTACTATCACGTTGGCAGGTCAATTGGTCGTTGTGCGACACTTAAAGCCTCTTTTGCCCATTTTTTTCCTGCCCTTCGAGACAGTGAAGCTGTCACCTGTCTACTTCAGCACCGGAGTTGACGTTCTTGGTCAAAAATGACAAGCAGACTGAACTGGGTAGATTGAAACAGCCCTTCCTACTAGGAGTGTCCAAGGCACAACTTTGTGAACGTCGAGGTTGTGGCAAAGGCACCGCTCTCGTAATTTATTTTGGTAAGGAGGGAAAGAAGAAAATTGATGGAACTGTAGTAAAGCACAAAAAATCTTGAAGACGTAATCGCTGTCCCTACCAAAGGACAGTTTAGACTGCCTCAGTCTTGCACAAGTTCCACCCAGACGTGATATTGTTGGTAATCCCGCCTCCGCCTCCGCCTCCGCCTCCGCCTCCTTCCTCCGTGCAAGGGCATCTCCAGCCAACAAGGTGATTGGCAAAAAGATTGAGGAGTAAGTTTAATCCTCGCTTTCCCACTCTCGCTCACAACTCTTAGTCTGTTTGTCTGCTTGTCTGTATGCATTTGTCGAGATCGCTTTGGTTTCACGGTCTTGTCTTGCGTGTGTGTGTGCGTGCGTGTGTGAACCTGTACTCGTTTCGGGTCGGGCTGTGTGCGTGTGCATGCGGGCATGCGCGTGCGTACGTGCGTGCGTGCGCACATGTGTGCATGCGAGCGCACTGGGTCTGCCCTATTGCCGTGTGCCGTGTCCACAATTGGCTGCCAGCGGCCTCTTATAAAAGGACCACATTCTCCTGTCACCAACACCTCTGCCTTGCTCTCTCTCTCTCTCTCTCTCACACTCTCACTTTCTCTCTTTCTTTCTCTCTTTCTCACTCTCTCTCTCTCTCTCTCTCAAACCCAAGACACAATGGCACTCCTACTTATCCTTGCATTGCAAGCTCTTCTTGTCTTCCCTCTCTCCGAGGGTGAGTTTCGTCGACACCTTGGTCGTGTTTAGATAGGTCTTTGGGGCGATTTCTAATGCCTACATCCTTTCTTGTAGCTGGAAGCTGCTTCCGAATTCGCCTTCCCAATGGCCGTTGTCATGAGTTGATCCAACGCAACTACATAACGCGCTCTGAGTGCTGCCGTTTGGGTGGGTTCTACGTGGGTGGACACCTCACAGAACCGCAGTTTGTGAGAGACCTCCTCTTGCGGCGCATTGGCATCGCAAACTGCCATTACTCCTGTCAAAGTGGTAAGTACAGGCCTCATTCCCCACTCCTCCACTCTCCGTCCCTGACTTCCCTCCCCAGCCTCACTAGCCTTTTTGCATGGGCATGACCGATGCTTCAGCTCGGCCTCCACAAAATCCACATGTAATTCGGTGTTTCTAAGGCAGCATTTAAGTGTCAAATTCACCCCTTCTGGTAGAGGAGTTGGGGAGATTTGCACTATCAACTGACGCCAGTCCACTTCTCCATCTGAAAGAATTGAGAAAATAATATCATCGCAACTTCTCGGCATATGAACTTACTCCTATTCTTCTATAAGAACAAAATACTTGTTAATATCTTGCAAAATAATTCGATCTTGTGTTAAAATTTTATAAATACGGGAGAATCTAGTTATACTACTAACAATTTTCTTAAGGGATTTAAGTAGACATGCATTTTTCCTCATTGGTCTAAATGAGATTACCACTGACCTTTTGCTGTCTCTAGCCTAGAAGGGGAAGCTTTTTGTGCTCCCTTTTGTTAGTTGCATCTTCATATCCCCTGTCCATTGGTTGAGCTGACAGGTGCCTACAAGTGGCTGTATTTCTACTGCGTAAGTGAGTGAGATTGACTACTACGAGCATAACTGACGCTGGAGACCTCCCAGTGTATATGTAGCCATTAGAACCACCCTGACCGCTGACGAATGTGCGTTTACACGGTTTGGATTTGGTGACTTTGGTGACCCACTGACCACTCCATTGAATACACACCAGCCTTGTGTTTTAAAGTTGTCCTCTCGATGAACGTAAACAGTAGAATGCGGAACTGCTTGATTAGGCCCCACTGAAATTCCTCACCCGAGGCGTGAAGTTTCGACACGTCTAAATTGTGGGCAGTCGTCAAAAATAACTCCTTTCCTCCACAGAGGGAGGCGAGGCAGAGTGAGGGAAGCAGAGATAAGGAAAAAAACACACACATACACACACGTGTTGTGGTGGGAGGAAAAACGAGTCGACAAAAAGACGGACTAGAGGAAGATACACACAGGCTCTGACACACAAGAGACATAACCTGTCTTGATTAGCCTCGCCCCTCAAAACAGATTAACATTCCAACACATTCACTTTTGTGGAGGAGGGGAATGGAGTCGAGGGGGGTGGGGAGGAGGGAGATGGCAAAAAACGAAATTAAAAAAGGAAGAACCTCACCGTCAGGGACTGACAGAGCTACCATCTGCATGGTTTTAAAAAAAATAAAGGAGGGAGGGAGGGAGGGAGGGGAAAAAAGTCCTCCTTCCGCCCAATTTCATAGGCCAACGGTCACTTCTTTTTGTGTGTTTCTCTCTCCTTCTTCTTTTTTATGCTTCATCCTTCCCTCTCCTCCTTTCCATGAATGCATTCTTTTCGGAGCTGTGACAGTTCATCATCTCACTCAACCACACAAAGTCTTTCTTTCTCTCCCCACGGAAGATGTGTTGTGCCTTCTCGAAAGCCCTCTAAGAGGGCTGTCATGACCTGTCTCCCCTCCACCCCCCCCCTCCACCACCACCGTCAACTGATGGCAGTTGGAAGGCTTTAAGAAGGCATGCAAATTTGTTTAATTGTTTATTACGCATGCGGTACGACTGTTGCATGGCTATTTTCCTTGTTTTAGCCCTAGACTACTTTTTAGGCTTTCACAATGAGAGTTGCGCTCGAGTCAACTGTCCGGACGGTTTTAGATGTGAAATGCAAAACAATGAAGCGGTGTGTGCCTGTTCGTCCATTTGTATTGTGGAGGATTTTGAGTCAGGACCGGTGTGTACTACAGACTTTCGACGATTTCGTAATCGTTGCTCCTTCTTGAAGGAGCGTTGTCGCAATTTGGACACCCTCCTCATGGAAATGCAATGTCCTCCTGCTGAGCATGTTTGTCCGTACAGACAAAATGTCAGTCACCTTGAGGAGCACGAACACGAGTATCCTGTGGTAGGTTGCTCAGCTACTGTTAATTTAACATCTGTAGAGAATTTGTCCACCCCACAAAGTCTGCATCGTCCGTCAGTACAGTGGAAAGGCGAGTTGTGAAGATCCCAATTGGTTGGGTCGAAAACACATTGAATCCGCCTTTGATAGAGTAGCGGTTAGCAATCTCGACTCCTGTGCCAACAGTCCATACGGCAGTCCCATCTGTGGCACCGACAACACCACCTACAACAATCAGTGTCACCTTCGAAAGGCGAGTATTCAACGAGGCCTTGAAATTCGCATCGCCTACTTGGGACCGTGCAGAGGTAGGGCACCGAGGAGGGCGCTGCCAACAGGCGCTGCCTCTGTGTGTGTGTGTGTGTGTGTTTTGATGTGTTGATATGTGGTTTTTCTGCCTCTCTCTTGTACTGTGCCTCTCTCTCTCTCTCTAGTCTGTTCCTAATGTTGGACGTTTATCACTGTCTGCAGCTATCAAATCTGCCAGTAAACAAAAAACAAAACGCATATTTCTACTGATTTAGCAACAGGAAGTACAAAGACTTCCTGTAGCCTTCTCATTCCTTCCACCTTTTCACCCCTCGCCTCCTCCCCCTCCCATCATGAAGAGGTCTCACTTTTATCGTCAATCTTTGTGTACCGCTGTTTTTTTGTCCTAGAAAATGCCACATGTGATGAGGTGAGGTGTCAAGACGCCCGCATGACATGCGTGCCACATGTCAGCACAGGTCAACCTGTGTGTTTGGATTGCACCGATTTGCCACCCAACTGCAATCCTCGTGTATTTGTACGAGTAAATCCAGCTGAGATTGCAGAAATGACATTGTTTGAAATGTCTAAGGAGGCAAAACAAAATTTTGGTGATCCACGATGGCACGGTGACGTCTTCACCAATGACTGGCCTCGAGTGTGTGGAAGTGGACGAAAGTCATTCCCCAATGCCTGCTTTCTACACGTCTACAATTGTATTGCCAAACGTTTTGTTGACTTTGTCTCAACTGGATTTTGTCCGGGTTAGTTGGCATTAAGCAGTCAATAGGGAGACACATTGACACAGTCAAGCCATTTACCCATTTTTTCTTAATTCCCTTCAGCTGAGTAGCCTCTCCTCAGGAGAAAGGTGTGTCATGTGGAAGAAAGAGAAGAAGAGAAAAAAGCACTGTTACAGCCATCATCACTATCATAACCACCACTGTCGCCGCACCTCACTGTTGTCTTTCCTGTGCCTGTCCCCCCGACATGCTACTCATAACTTGTGAGTAGCACCAGTCCAGCAATTGCATTGACAAGTATGTTTCATCATTTTGTCTCACCTCTATCCCCTGGCTCCCTCCTCCCTCCCCACTCCTCCTCTCTCGCCGTCAATCCCCATGCCTGTGGTGACCTGGTCAACTGTTTTATCACGTTGGTAGCCACAAACATTCCTGTCATTCGTAGTATTGAATGTAAACCACCGTCCAATGTCTCAGGCTCATCCTATCACAGAAGCAAATGTGTCACACGGACACACAACTCAATCTCCTCTTGTACATCCTTACAGTCGTCTCTCTCTTTCTCATTTTATCCTCGCCAGTTTGAGTACAAAGTAAATGTTTGCCTGATGAAATTGACAAACCCCTACACCATTTATTCATCCACTTACACACATCTACCGACACACATCTCATGTATGTATTCTTTTTTTTGGAATGGACATTATTGACAATATTATTTTTTTGATATTTGAAATACGTATTTTGTCCTTCGCGATGATTGGATGGGCCAGCAGCAATCTAATTGGACGAGCGCGCGCGTATGTGTGTGGGCACAAAATGCGACCCAAAAGGATGGTGAGACTGTGGAGAGAGGATGGAGGCAGGATGAATGCTGTAGGTGGAAAAAGTGATGTCCAACTCAAGATGCTGTCCTTCCACACCACCACTCCACCTGCCTCCTCCTCACTTCAGTGTCTAGTCGGGATTTTTATTGCTTTTTTTGGCTACTAGGCGATTGAAGCACCTATCTTTTCCAGTATGTGAGTTTTCCATCTTCTGAATGCCTTAATAATGGAGGATGCGATTCGCAGACCCAAATTTTAGTTACCTTTCAGTCATGAACAATTGATTGGTGGGAGCAGTGGGGTTTTTTCACCACCCTTCAGCATTCAAATTCGAACAATCCACTTCACTCTAAATGCCGCCGCCGCCGGATTCGCCCATGTGACCCATGCCAAGTGAAGAATGGAGAGTGCCGACGACCGTCCACATCTGCAAAAGGCATAGGACTTTTAAAAAGTAAAGGAAGGAAAAAACAAAATCACAACACCATCCGAATAGGCGTACGGAATCTGTCAGGGTGGGGGGAGGGAGGGGAGAAGCTATAGGACCAGTCCTTCGGTGGAAAGGAAAAAAGTCTGGAGTCAGAGACATGCTGGTAGCGACGCCGGATAATCTAACGTTTGGATGATTGCAATGTGGATGACATTTTATTCCACATACACACATACACACACACTTGTGTGTGTGTTTTTGTGTGGTCTCTGTCATCTTCTCGTTCTAGTGAATCATTTTAACATCTAAAGTTGGCTCTAGTGGCCGCCACATCCATCCACCTCCTCTTCATCATCTTGGTGTGGAACTAAGGGCCTCAACCCCCTTCTCCCCTTCTTCCTCCTCGGCTGACAATGGCTTAAAGAATTAAAATGACGCTTAAAGTGAATTACTTTCCCATTTACCATTCATTGGAAGGGTCTGCAATTGCATGGTCTTGACAAAAGTGTTTTTTTTTTACCATTTCAAATTGTCTGTCTCGATACAGGTTGTGAATCAAGTTTTGCCTCCCTTATGTTCCGATTTTGGCGTCAATTTTGGTCACTGTGTTAAAATCAAAGTCTGCATCAAGGTAGAAACTACAAAATGAGTTACAATTCTTTTTAAATTTAATAAAAAGTAAATAAAGGAGTCCAATTTGTGGGGTTGCTTTGAGGATTCGGAGGCTAATAGGAGAAGTGCATCATCAACTTCACCTTTTCAGATCCCCTTGCAGGCATCGTTGTGGTGAAAAGGTCTGTTGTCACCTCAAGAGAGAAAAATTCAGTCGCCTAGCTTAGAAGTTATGCCTAAAACACGCTTCTTCTACACCTTTGAGGTGATGCTGATTACAAGAGAAAAGAAAGGAGACGAAAAATGGAAAGTTCAAACTCCCCTCTCACCTGATTGGACAATTTTGATTGCAATAAAAGTCTCTCAGGGCCTTCAGCACCATTGAGTGGATTGAGATTGAAGGGCATTTCCAAATCAGTGCCAGGTGCGCACAAAATTCTTCTGAGGTATGTGGACTACCCCCAGCCCCGCCGCTATTCATCTTTTTATTGCCCACCTCCCTTTCCCCAACCTTCCTACTCCCCTCTCCCCTTGCCCTTCCTCCTCCGACTTGTGGTGGCATTGGGTACACATTCACACCCATACACATACAAACGTCGTTAAAAGGGAATACAACATGGACAGACGTGTCTAGTCGTTTCGGGGCCATTGGGATTGATGGTGGGCCAAGGAGAGTGGGGTGGAGGGAAGTGGGTGGGGGCGAGGTAGGAATGTCCTTGATTTACAGGTAAGTAGGCAATTGGGTACACGCCCACATAATCGGTAACCTCGATTCAAAAGTGCCGGAAATACGGCTTGTTTCAATCCAGACGACACCGCCAACTCGGTAATCAAATTTAAGGGGAGGATGGAGAACGGTGATGCAGGGAGACGCTGGGGAGGAGGGGAACTAGGAGGTCTCAGAATTTCTGCCAGTTATGAAGACTAAATCAATGTAAAATTGGATGTGATTTATTTATTTATTTATTTATTTTTGGCATAATATTGATGATTATAACCTCCGGATTGGGTGTCTTCTGTCTTGTGTCTTCGATGTGGTCCTTCTCCACCGATTGAGAATCCATTGGTATGGTTTCGTGCCCTACACCAAGGAATTGAGAGACTTAACGTTATCTTCAAGGTCACCAGGTCCCAACTTTACAAAGATGTAGTTGCCGAGACGTGGAGAGGTGAAAGAAGCAAGGGATGCTAGAGGCTGAAACCAAAGTCATCTAAGCATTCAGGTGAGGGAGGGAGGGGGAGGGGGAAGGGAAGACTCGGGTTGAGTGTCCATGTGGTCGCACAACCCAGTTTCATTGCCATCGTCTAGCCGTCGTGCGTCGCAGCCGTTTGATGAATCATGTAGGCGCTTTCGTTCGTTTCCCCACGCCCCCCCTCCTTCCTTCCTTCCTTCCCTCCCACCCCACCCCACCCCACCTCTCACTCCCCACCCAGTAGGCCAGACACGACACGGTGTCTGCATTTTAAGCACACAGTGCTGCCTGTGTCCCCCTAGTGGGTCATTGCCTCACCTGTTTGGCCTAGTTCCACCTTAGACGAATAGCGCATATCTGCAATACCTTCATACTTATCCCCATGCATGTGCAAAGCTATGAGGCGATGAGTGAAACCGTGGCTATTGCGCCCACCCTCTAATTATACTGCAAAAAATTAACCCCATTTTCTATCCACTCAACGCCAGAGTGTGCCAAATAGAAGAAAGTGTCTAATATGCCACCGCTTACTTTGGAAAGTGACGGAGTACCACTTCGGAAGGAGAACGAAATAATAGTGGGTAAAAATGTCCTTAAATAAATCCTCAATCCGACTTGTCTTTGCCTCCGAACAGGTAGAAGAGACTACGTCACTCCTTCTCCTCCTCCTCCTTCTCATCGTCATCGTCGTCTGCGAAGAGCTACGGTCTTTTGGATTAAGAAATGCATTCCACACTTGATATTAATCATTACCAAAGAAACACCGCCAGACTCTTCGAAAAGGAATCAGTGAAGATGCTTTGAACTACTCGTTTAAAACTATGGCAGGAGGAGGTCTTTTACTCTACAAGCTTTCATTGTACAGACAGTGTTGTGTGGACAGATGCAGAAAAGCAACAACAAAATTCTCTTTGTCAGACTTCTTAGCTCCGTCCTAGAACCCAGGAGCGCTCCACCTCATTGTACATTCCCGATTGCCCTCCTTACCTTATCACTACCGTCATCACCTAAGACTTGAAGAGTCAGTTCTTCTCTCAGAGACTGTGTACAGATGAAATGTCATTTCGCCTCTCATTCCTGGTGATGATAATGGAAATTCGCAGCCTCAAGCTGTCACCAATCAGACTAAGAATGGGTCCGAATTTCACTGCCTCCTTTTCGTCTTGATTAAACCAATGGACGACTTCCATTGCACCCTGTAATAAGGACAACAGTCATCTGTACACACCAGAAGGTCCGCACACTTCCCACGATCATAAAGTCCGACAAGTAAGACCTCCAATGCATGAAAGTGTAATCGTAATCGCGCAGTTCCTAAAGTTGACTAGGTGCCATTTGTGCCAGACATGCAGTTTTCATTAAGAAACCAAAGGAAATGCTGAATATCTCGTTCTTTCGTAATCATCTTTTTCAATAAAAAGGCAAAAAAAACCTACAAATTAACTGAATCATGCTCCCCGAGGCACCATCGAGAAAAAACCTCCCCGGTCTAAGAATTTCACACCATTGTTTTTAAACTAAATAAAAAAACTCTACTGATGATCAGTAAGTAAGCAAACTTTTATTAGAGTATAATGTAGATCGTGAGACCAGGAAGTGGCGTCAGTCATTTGTTGCAGAGCTCCCAATTGAGTAAATGTAAATCTTAAAACAAGACAAAACCGAAAAAAAGATAAAAATAAGGGCATAACTTCAGTCAAAGGCATAAAGCACACGCCTGCGGTAGCGAGCGGGTAGCTAGGAGGCAACCATTTATGCGTAACGTAGTCTAACGTTGCAGTGCAAAAAGCATTTCCCGTCACAAGTCAATCAGCCAATGAACAAGCAATAGGGAAGAAAGAATCGATGTCTCTTGAGATTGGGATTCTGTTTGCAAGAGAAATGTATGTGGCGACGCCCATGAGAGGAAATTTGCAATAGGGTATGATGGCTCCAGAACGACGCAAACACCCATTAAAAATTAACTTCCTACGACCTCAAATCTAAGTGAGAATATTTGTGTTTTCTTCATTCCATTCCGGTGACAGCACCGGTCAGTGGACGATACCCGATTTCATTAAAGTAGACTGGACTCGGTCGGATGAGGACAAGTGAACTAAGCACTAGTGGCTGGGCATACCAGTGTAACAGTACCTGTACTCACTAGTGTAGAATTGCGCGCCTTCAGCTTGTTCACCAAGAACGCTCCCAAGCAAAACCGACTTCCTAGTTTCGCGACCAAACTAATAAAAACACAGGAATGAGAAAGTAATGCAAAGCTAGTATTACCTCTTGGAAGGTAACAATTAATGAACTATAAACATCCGAGAGGAAGACTGTGACTATGAAGCAGGAAAACAGTGAGCAGATGAGGGGAAGGGAAGAAAGTTAATCCATGCTTTTCAATGACTTGAGATGACGTTCGATTGCAGCCTAAAGCAAAAGAAAAAAAGATAAGTAAAATTGATCAGTTAACAAGAAGACCGGGGAATCATTCCGTTTGCGCGTGCATGAGCATAAGGAGGAAGCGTGAGAAGGCATTAAACTATCAAAGGAACGACACCAATTGATAGCGCTGGGAGGATATACATCCCCCGATTTCATGCCATCAACAAAGAAAAAGGGCAGAGGGTAGACAAGAAAATTGTGGTAGAAGAGGAGGGAAGATAAATCACATTTAAAAGCGACGACGGAGCTAATCGATCTCATCTAACTGCGCTAGACTTCGGCGCAGAGCCTCCTAAAGACAGAGGTAGAAAGAAGGCGATTAATAGGCGTGATTAAACCCCGACGTCCCATTCCGAGGGCACAAAAATTCAAGAATCAGTAATAATGCATTACAAACAAACCGCGTCTTCCTCACGCATCATTGTCAAGAGATAAAGCCTAGGTTTAAATAGTTTCTAACTAAACTACCAAAATTAACGTTCTACTTCCAAAATGGGTACGGAGTTACGAAAAAGTACCACACTGCTTGCTTGCATGTAACAGACAAATGATTGGATCAAATTCCAATGCACACATATAGACCAAATTTTAAGCATAATAATGCTGGTGAATACAACTATTGATAGAAGCTACTTAACAATGTGCTACGGCAAACCTTTCCTTCCATGATCTCCATACTCATCTTGTTAGAAAAAAAACATAAACTCAGCAGCACAAAAGATTACCTTGTGACGCTCAATTTGCTCCTCATGGAATCTGACCTCCTCAACGAGATGTTTCTTCAACTCCTTGATGTGTTCCAAGTCCTGACCACGGGAGAAAAAAAATTAAAATAATCCGCCTTGGAAATTATGAAAAAGAGCATCCCATTATTTCTTAACGACAGTTATTCGATTTCCCTTGTTGTACCTTGCGATGAAAATACTCTTCTTCCAGTGCAGCCTCTCGTTTGCCAAATGAACCTCCTGCATCCCGCACAACACCGCCTTTGCCACCACCCTAAGATAATCAATAATTAACAAATAGTAGTTTCATAGCTTAAAAGGAAATTTTAAATAAACAAATTAAAAGAGATTAAGGAGCAAGAGCGCCTATCCAACAATGATAGAACACAAAGAAAATATCACAAAGCAAGCCTTTGCTGGATCATTTACATCTAGAGTAGGATATTACAAATGACGACTATAAGTAACAAATTACCTTTGATACACCACGGCCAAGTTCATCGCCAGGGTACATCCGATAACAACTGAAGCGACGAAACAATTGATGCAATAAAAACGCACTTGGCTACTAAAAAATTCGAAGCAAGTCCTTCTACATCGATCAATGGCTTACAGTACAAAACATGGAAATGTGCATAAAATGTAACCGAAAAACAAACCAAAACTCACCCAATTACTACAGGTTTCAGTACGTCAACGCTTGACGGGCTTACTCTTCGTAAAAATGCGGGAATAAAAGCGAAGCCAGATGTGAGCATAACACAAAATAGAGGTGCACAAAAACGAAACCAAAATACACTCCTAGAACTTTATTTGCTGATAACTAACCAATCAGCTCTCAGATCTATGACCTAGACCAAGTGAATTCCGTAATTAGTATTTAATTAACAATTATCTTAAAGATTAAACTTAAGTAAAAGCAGCCCACGTTTTAAAGACTTTTAATATCAGCGTCTAAAGACTTCGTTGTGCATGAACACAATGCGAAATGACTTAAATGGTTTTACAAGTGCAACAGTGTGAAGAGATCACTTATTCCGCATCGGCTGAAGTTCAACCGTCATGAGAAAATGAGTACAACCATCCAGCTGATTATACATGCGATCAAGTTCAGTACTAAAGCACACTCGCGCACGCCTTATGAAGAAAATAGCGAAGTGTTTAATGACGCAACACGGCAAAGATGAACACCCGTAGCCACCCACTTCCTCGTGCATTGGCGAAATCTAATTCATAATCGGCTCCATTCCTCGGCTGTGCTTCTCACCTTATGCTCATTACGTCCTCAGTGCTAAAAACTTATCACTTGTTAACTGCTGCAGCAATCGCCGTATGAACATAACCTAGGTATCGCTCTGTAGAGGGTGAGCATAAATCATTAGATCCCCGACACCGCCAAAGCCGAAAATACGCCTTGGGAGTGCCAAAGGCATGGTATACGGACAATCACTAGGAGAGCAACAGATGAAGAACTCGTATGACGAACCCCCGACCAGAGGTATTTCAATAAGCCTTATCTCATGGATACACAAGACACTTTACCATATTTACTTTAAAAAATCACCAAAATATGCTTAAAATCTTGGTCGTCTCCCGTTCTCCATAATGAATTTCCATGATTCTCTGAAGAGTGTCCTTAATTTCAGTGTTAGGGCACTCACCGGCCACCTTGGCGACGGTCACCAGCTTAAGTAATTCCCAAGCGTACTCAATACTATCTGAACCAAATCGATTGCGTGTAAACTCGCACGATTCGGTAGTCAAGTAGAGTGCCATTTTTCTTGCTTCCAATGGTAAATTTGTCATGCGTCCCTCGAAAAGCCCAAAAGCTGTCTCATCTGCAATTTCCCCATAAGAGGGTTCAGGTGTCACTGTGATGGTAGGATCCGACAAGCGTTTCAGTCTTTTGAACAGCGATGGAAGGGCAGACAGACGTGTTTTTGAAGAACGAATCTAGAGACAAAGTAAAGAACACGGTTATGCCTGAACTGATTTCTCTTCTACGGAAGGTGCTCTTTGAAGTGACAACATGTTACCTGCTCAATCAGCTTGCACCACTGATCATTTTCTTCAGGAGAGAGGGCAGTAACTTCCTGTGTTCCGTTACAGTGCACACAAGAGCATTCAAAAAAATATTGCTCTAGGAGAGCCCTTTTGCGAGTGCCTACGATGGGATCATGTCGGAAGTGCGGACCGTAACACGCCAAGACCTCATCTTCTGGAGAGAGATCTTTAATGCATCGAATAACGATAAATCCGTTCTAAAAAGTTATTTGAAAATATATTACCTAGCCAAAATTATATATTATATATATTATATTATTGCTACTGAATAATTTTCGGTAAAAATAATTTCAAAAACAACCATGAATTGATACGCGATGTTGGGTTCGCAGGCATGATTGATGAACGACGCGGTAGGAAAAAGACCTCCCCCAATGCGTTCCTGCTCCACACTGACTAGTCCATGGCCACCACCGACCGCAGTATTAACCTGTGTGATTGCATGAGCATTGCACTGTAGTCGGTGTAGCATTCGAAAGCACCAATCGCCACAGTTGGGCAGACCAGTACGCGCCAAAAGGAGACCACAGAGCCATCCGGTCAAACCATATTCAAAGTGGGATGTAAAGTGTTCGTAGTTGTCAACTAGGCTGTTCAGAGAAGTTTCCCTATCGACTCCAAGAAGATTTCGTCCTCTAAGTGTCCCCAGGCGGTAGCAGAGATGACCCAAACCAATTGAATTGAGTAAGAAAGTATACCTACAAAGGGGAGCATTAAAAAAGAAATGGATTTAGCACCTGCACTCATCTCTGTGCCATTGTGGAATGATGAATCGACCATTTTTGAAGTGCCGAGAGAAACAACTAGATGGCGGTCCACAGAAAGCTGCGCCATCACAGTCTGGGCAAACAAAACCCACGCTTTCTAGCTGACTGTGACAGGCAAGACAACGAAGGTGTCGTTGAAATGGTAAAAGAATACAACATGCAACTGCCATCTCGTCAACTGACTCCATTGCGCTTGAAATGTCACTTTTCTCCCAGCCACCAGCAGGCTCACTTGCTAGTACATCGCCAGCTTTGAAATGCCTTTCACAGACAACGTATCGACCTTGGTTGCGTGACTCTCGAACGACTAAGCCATTTGAAAAGGCCCTTACCTGAAAAAGAAAAGACGATCACATCTTAAGTTTAACTACATCAGTAGAACTACCTTCTTGCTTCTTCCAAACTTAGGAACAGGCAGGTTGACAAAGCCGTAGCGTTCTTCTGATTCCTGTGGAGGCGCTGAATCGTCACAGAGCCTTGCTATCCACTTATAACACTCGTTATGATCAGATAAAGCCTCTCGTCCCATTTTCTCGCAAGCGTTTTGTAGTCTAAGCTGAAGACGTTTCTCAATTGGACTTTGCAGAACATTGCGAATTCTTAAGGCAAGACATGCATGCCAGATGCATGCAGCCCACTTTGACTGGCGCAGAAGGCACGCCGATAGGTTACCGTGAAGAAGTGCCATTTCTTTTGACTCCTTTTCCGCAATTAAAACTCCTCTTCGGTAACACTGAGCCGCTGCCTCATAGTCTTCCAGTCTGGAAAGTGGGAGACAAAAAACGAAGTCTCCAAAAAAGACAGTCAGATGTGTTGTATGACAACACGTACTTAAAGTAGCTGTTTCCTTTTTCACGATGTTTTCGAGCCTTTTCAGAATCCTTGCATTCAACAAGGCCGCTTTCCAAATCGGAGATAAAGTTGGGAAGGTTATTCAACGCTTTACTTGCATGGTTTCCGTCTGCATACTTCTTCAGACGCGAGTAGTATTCATTTGGTGTGCCGTCGGGTTCAAGTAGACCAAAATGATCGCCATTTGATTTAATATGATCGATTTCTGTGGAAAGAATACATTCCCAAACTCGACTTGCTCCAAGTTTATCGCCGTCTTCTTGAAACATAAACTAAACCGAAACTTCACAACTAAGCACTTAAGATGAAAGAATACGACCAAAATATTCGAGAACCACATTATTTGTAGGAAAATTTATTCCATAAATAAAATGACCGAAGAATATTAAAAGGGAATCAGAGGTTAAGCAGTCAATGCGGCTCTGGCTTGTGACCATCTACGTAGAAATTCCGAGTTGCTGGTGGCAGTTCGATCACGATTCCATCCAACTCTTTAGTCAAGATTATCTGACATGCTAAAATTCAAGCACTCATAGGTCAGCAGAGCAAAGGATTTAATTTCACTTTCAAGCTAATTTTAAACTCAAGCTTGTGTATAAAAACAGCATGGATCGTAAGATGCATAAGGTATTAGGCTAAAACAATGACACACAGAGACGAGAATTGGATTTGAGGAAAGGAGCCAGGTCCAACATGTCATTTTCTTCATCGCTCGGCTCAGGGAGTTTATCAAGCATCTTTTCGTCTACGTAGACATGACAGGTGGAACAAGCCAATGATGCTTCGCATGCACCCTCGATATCAATTCCGTGCCGATGAGCAAGGTACATCAAATTGTCATTAACCTTGCCAGCAACCCTTATTTCAGACCCATCTTTATTTCTGAAAATAACATGAACACTGAACACAAGATCAGAATGTTCCCAATAGACCTACATATCGTGTGGGGACTTCGGATCTTCCCACTCATACCGCCCGTTAAACCTAACACTTGCTACTATGATAAGTTCCAAGGAAATACACACCAGAAATTCGTAAAAAGTTAGGGTAAGTGGGTTTCAAGCGATAAGAGCAAGGCCCAAAAACCCGAAAGAGATGTCGAAGTAACATTAATAACTCTTTAGGCAGCCGCAAGAGCCACGAGGAGCAGACAGAAAGCAGACCGTAACGAAATGGACGCGTTTGTTAAACGACCCTGAGCATGGAAACGTGGTTCGTTTAATCATTATTTTGCCTATTCTTGGGAAACAAAGCTAAAAACGGAGCAAAACCCACCGAATTTATTTTTATTTTTTAATATTAAGTTTAATAAAAGTGTAAGACTTATTTGAAAAATTGGCATAATTTAAAAGCCCAAAGTTATGTACAATTGTCAATCCCCTGAAAGCCCTACGCAAGCCCCAAATCCTTGCCAGTCGCACTTCACCTGTAGGCAGCCACCCGATTTATCGCTATCCAGCACTACCTCAGTTAATGTAGGGAAAGGAACCAGAGCCAAGTAGAGTCAAGAAGACGCAACAACAGATAGATGCAAGGACATGTTCATCCACGGAGCGCAATGTTTTGGTGATGACGACAATCAATACAGCATGAGAGTGCGAACAAAGCGAAAGAGTAGGTTTCTCCCCAACTTCACCGTCTTTAAGCCTCCTGTTCTAGCATAAAAGCGGAGTTAGGTAAATCCTGATTGGTTCTTCGCGCCAGTTCCATCTGTAGTGCAGCCGCTTCTTTGTGCAGCTTCTCTGGGGTCATACTCACCACTAAAAATGACAGTAAACAGTCAAATGTGCTTGATAGAGGGCGTTCACAAAGGCCACCTCTGCCGGACTTACAGAAGCCTTCGTTCCGTAGGAAATGTAGAAAGTTCACCGCCAACTTGTCCGGGTCCTCTTCCATCAGAAATCCATTGCAATCGGGCACTAGAAGGAACTGTGTCTTTCTTGGATCCATACGTCCATTTAAGTCAGACAACGCACGAGCCAAGTCTTGCGCCAGAGCACCCGTTACAAGGCAGCAATTGACCTTGATCGCAGTGGGCTGAGTTGCTTGAGACCCGGCTTCGCGTTCGCGCTGTTCAATCACCGAGGGTGGATCAAGGCAGCGGACAAGACCGAGGTCGGTACGGTTTATGTAAGAGTCAATGTATCCTGCCACGTTGATAGGATTAAGACTGCGAGCAAGTTGAGTGTAGAAGGCAACAAGGTCGTGATTTTCCGCCAGACCCTAAAGCAAACACGGGGGATAAGGCGGGAACTATGGGAAGCACGTTGGTGTGGATAATACCTGCTACGCGCCCACTTATTCTTGCACAGTCCAAATCGGGCACAAGTGCCACACGCCTTCTCAAAAATTCTCTGATCGTTAAACAAGGACCTCCCCAGAACAAAGCGATGCTGTCACACATTTTAGAAACACTGTTCAAAGTGGTAAAGATTCGCAGTAGGATGTAAGCCATGGATGCTGGCACGGCGTAAATAGACGCGATGATCAGTTCATACGTCCTCAGACAATATTCACATTTCTTGTGGCAGCTGTAGTGGCGTCTCAACGACAGTCAGGGGCAGTCGTCTATTAAGCCTGATCAACGACCCTTAGATGGTCAATACGTAGTGGTACAAAAGGCACCATATCATGGCGAAAGTAGGCACAGGCATCAATGAGTCTCTAATCGCTCAAAGAGATCAAATACGCTTAGCACTACCAGGACGAGTTTTTCATTCCTGACCAGCCTGAAAATTAACTGCTGCAGTGAAGGCGATGCGAAGTAACATGTACTCTGGAATGAGTAAGTAACAATATATGACAGCCAGAAGTCCTTATCTGATTTCAACGTCCTTACGTGACCCTAGACCTTTGAGACATACGAACAAGTGACTTGAGGGGAATAGAAAGCAACGCACAAATCCGAACCAGTGTGCTTCAAGTTGGCTGAGGAGGTTGTCGGTGAAGAAGCCCCGCTGCAGATTGGGCAGATCAGACCAGCGATTGCGGAACCACTCATAGTAGCCGTGAGTCGTTCCATTGGGATTGAGCAGAAACAGAGCAAGCACATTGTCCGGATGACGGAGCTACAGATAGCACAATAAAAGTAGAATGCGCTTCAAAAGGATATCAACGTGAGCTTCCTCCTGGCTACACAATGGCGACCACCTTACCGCGAAACGCGCCAGAACGTTGGAGCCGGCACCCATGCCAAAACCGACAAAGTATTTCATTCTAAAGAGGAGTTATTTTCGTGTCAAGCTGAGAGGCAGAACTCACTTGAAGTAGTCCACAACTGAGGTTAGCATTTCGGCCAACTCGTCCATTCTGGGATATTGGCTGAAAGGGATGTGAAGAGCGTGTCAACGGGGCTGCCGAAAAAGGAGAAGGAACGAAAGAACGGCGACAGATCTATGCGAAACCAAGCAACTTTGGCATGCATATACATCCGCTAACCTGGTCGTTGTGGAAGTAACGCTATCATCTGCAACACTGTAACAAACAATTAAGATTAGGCACGATACTACTGATGCCCATAGGTAGTAGCTTAAAGCAGGCGGGAGCGATTGCACGCATGGATTTGGCCTATTTGCAAGTCTTACTTCTGGTAAGCAGACTGTCGCCCGAAAAGGCTGTCCTCACCCGTGGTAGAAATGTTCCTCTCCTCATTCGAACGAAGTAGAGATGTTTCACCCTCTACTGGGCTGTGGAAGTGACGATTTTGAGAGGAGTAAGAAACAACTACACATTACTCCACTGTAAATGCCACGAAACACAACAAAGAACGCAAAGCAGAAAACGCCAAGTGATGAAAAAGGGACCACCACCGGTTTCATGAGGTGCACAAACCAACAATGGCGTCGTGACGAGTAAATAAATTACTGAATGGTGGCGACAGAGGTCTGTGCTGCTGTTTATGCTCTAAGAGGACTAGCCACATTTAAATCACGCCTGCATCCACAGCACGCCACCTCGAGTTGGCACATGGGAATCGCATTCCATTGTGAGATGAGATAGGATAGCTGAAATTCCATTTGGAAATCGTATAGGGGAGCACATTACGTTTGGAATTGACTATTTCAACGCACCTCGGACCTGTGGATTTTGTGCATCAGTGAAGACTTTTGTCACTATATTTCAGCTGGATGATATTCGTGACTGTCAGTGATTAACACCACCCATGGATTTGGGTGTTATTGCTAGGGCAAGTTCCTTTTGGGCCACTCAAGCAGGAAGTGAGGGGAGAACCGTATGATCGTGCCACCACAAAAAACTCCAATCAGGAGTTACGAGGTCGTGCTATTCCAAATCAACTAATAAGATTTTGATGTAATCCAAGTCACGACAGAGGTAAGTAAATGACAGGAAACCGACCCATTCCACTACTACATTCACAAGCACCATCAAACGACAGTGGGATTGGATAGTTGGAAGCCTCATGTCAGCAAAGGCACTTGGAAAGTGGACAGACCGAATTCACCACCTATTTGCTGCGTAATAAAGACTGAGATAAAAAGTAGGGACGAAAAGGTGCAAAGTTTATGAGCCCTATCCAATCCATTTACCACGAATACCCCCTCCCTTCACAGGGTTAAAATTTCAAAGATGTCATATTCCACCCTACTGCCACGACAAAATGAAAAACAACTGGGGCAGATAGAGTAGGATCCAACATTTAATTTACAGGTTAAACTTTCCGAATGCAATAGGAAAGGAAGAATTACACCTTGTGAATAAATAGCATGGTCAGTCATGTCAGGTTAGGTAGACAAGTCACAGTCGTGTGACTTCCGAAACAAAGTGAATGGCGTTTAGCTACGTGGTCTTTCTTCACCTCACGAAATCTCCATTACACGTGCCTTTCATACGGAATTCCATCAAATGCCATTTAGGGAAATATCTACTGGTAAGTCGCGATCGGATGGTAGAAGGCACATACCCGAAAGTGGATACCACAAAGAAATGGACATCCGACTACCCACGATCTGACCCCTACAGGTGATCTGCGATAACTAGCGGTTAAAATGAACTCAAAATTGCAAATAAACAAGTGAATGCACTTTCATAACCCTGTTTTGTAAAACAAAGGGTGAGTGAGATATGCAACTATCGTGTAAATAAAAGGTCCCTTTTTCTTGATTTGCAACAAAAATTTCTAGGGCAATCGACCTTCGCTAAAACCAGAGAATTTGAGAGGCCTCAATACCTCGCCCCTCAGTGCCATCGAGGCAAGACACGGACAAATAGCTCCAACTTGAGCGACTAATAGCGCACATTAAACTGCAGGAATGGGCACAAATTGTCAAGCAAAGTCCCCTCTCCTCCATACCCCATGCCTATTGACGCAACTACCGAAAAATTCTCCAATGCCCTTGCAAAACTTTAACATTGGATTCAAAAATTTGAGCTATTAACTGTCAAAAGATGATCACAGGCGCGGCTTAAAGCTGCACAAGCACAAATAGAACAGTTTACAGTGCCAACGAGACAACAGAGTATCAGCAAACGCGTTAATGGAAACAGAAGAAGCTAGAATCCTCATGAAAACGAACGGCGCTAAAGAGGATATTTCACCATACTCAGTAGTGCTAAAAGCCGCCTTTTCTCCGACATCTAGTACGCTGTGTGCACAGCATTCATTTAAATTCGCAAAACAGCGTGACGGGCTTTAAACTTGGTTTCTTTTGAGGCAAAAAAAATTTTTGTTAGTTCACGCCCTCATTTCACAGTTAATGCAAATGTATCCAGTCACATCGTTACAAGGTATCAAGTGAGGTAGCGTGCCAAGTTCGCATAAAGGCGAAACCCAAAGACCGATGCTAACAATGTTACCATTCGATAGGAAAAGTTCAGAGAATGAGTAAAAATCAGACGATATGATCGTAGCCATTCCCCTAATTCACATCAATGCTGTAAAATTGTCTTGGCCTACTGAATAAAAAGGCATATCAAGAAATAAAGTAAAAAAGTGCAAGCCGACACTCTCCTAGAGGAATCATCGAACATGAATTTCTATAGCACATTGAACCACATGCCTTAGGGTAAAACAACATTCAAAAAAGGAAAACAAAGAGTTCATGCATTGGACTAGATAACGACAAGAGCCTCCAAGACGAATAAGGCAACAAAGGGTCGCAGCCATGCAGACGTACCCATTGCGCCAACGAAAAACGCTTCTGATGAAACCAAGACTCTCTCCTCCCACTTGACTAACAAAAGAATTTTTGTGTTTATGGGTGAATTGAAGCCACAAGTAGCTACAGAGCAAACGGTACAGAAGTTAAATCAAAGGAAACTTTACTCACTTGAGTGTAAGTGGCTCAGCTCCTTCATGATGACCCGGAGCACATACATGATAGATTGTAAAATGACGCGAAATCACCTGCATCTCAGGATAGGAGAAAAAGCCCAAAAATGAGGTGTCTGATGGTAAAATAAAAAAGCTACTAAAGAAGAATTCTTAACTTGGATAGCTGTGGTGAACCAAACTTACGATTTGTTCCGATATCGTGGTACGTTAGTATGGCGGATTTGGAATTCGAGGGTTGTCGATAAACTCGGATAGGAATGCCGCTAGAAGTAACAATTTCGTATTCCTATGGAACGCAGTAGAGTTATAAATTAGGAAGGAAGAGCGAAAGTTTCACGGGAATAGGTACCTCAAGAACACCGGAAGATTCATGAGAAAGGACGGGGTGACTAATAGTTGTGTTATCCTCAAGAGGGACTCCGACAAATCCGACACTTGGAACTTTTGCCGTTTTTCGAATCTGCGACATCTCCATCCACTTAGAAAGTAACTATTAAAGAGCTAAAAATACAGGGACAGAAAAACCTAAGATGCAAAATTCAACGCCAGCCTGAACAAGGTTAAACTCATGTAAGGGGATCATGATTAATTAACTGTACGTTGCAGAGTAGTAAGGTCAATATGGGACAAATATGAAAGATGAATGTGCAAAGTACGAACGACTGGGCATGTACCTCAGAAGTATAAGACGGCCTCGCTCCAACTCACTTAACCTAGACTGCCCCCTAACAAAACAGACCAAGGCGGCGTTATATAAAGTCGAACCACACACATCAGAGCTGGGCCACTTTAAAGGTCATGTGATTTCATATGTGCTAAGATTTGAAGAAGTGTTTAGAGGTAATTTGTAGTTGCTACAGCTATAAACACACTAAAAATGGCTTACACTATCTTCATAATTTGCACTGTGAACATGCTTTAGACTGCATTCGGTAGCACACGCAAGCTCTACCATGCTCTAGAAAAGTTACCAATGGTACTGCAGTATCTCAAGCTTTCCTATAGAGCAACTATGGGTAAAACATTTAGGTGAATATTCCTTTACTAGACAGGAAGTGAAGAAGTAGCTCCAACATGGCATGAAGCTAAAAAAACCAGCCGAAGCAGGGCGTCTTCCTAATCGGCCACCGCTTATGCAGGTAGTCGAATGCATACAGCATCACAGTTGCGCTTGTGCCACTTTGTTTCTGTCTTGCCTTTGCATGCGTGTGTAATTCCTTTTTTGTATGACTACCTGACGTTCGGCGGTTACTCTAAGATTTGCCCGTCCCTCGTACGTGTTGGCAGGCCTTCGAGTCATACTCAGGTATAATCGCCTCCTTCTCCTAGGAATGCATGTATTCAGCTTCACTTACTGCCTTTTTCCACCCAGTAGGAAGTCTCGGGACGCTGCACTGGTGTCAGCGTTGGTCTACATCCCTCCCTTTAAAAAAGCATGGACTTTGACTACTGGCTCTTATTTTATTTTGTATAGAGTGCCATCGCTACTCCACGCCTTGCCCTATGACCTACGTTTTGAAGCAATAGACCAGGGTATCATGCTTTCTTCGGATATCGAAAAGTGCTACGAGGTTCTTGTCAAATTGACACTCCTCTAGAAGTAAAAATTCTTAGCTTTAGACTTGTCCAACGGCTACAAATACATGTAAAGTGTAATGAAGACTATGCGGCAAGGCTCCTTTTACTAGCGAAACAGGCATTAAAGGATTGCTTTCCTCTTCAGATTGCCTCATGAATAGCGGCCCAGTTCATAAGAGCCGTGCGTCCACCCGCCTTGGCAGAACAATTAGTGTAGATGGGAATGAGCAGATTTAGCTGTCTTATTGATGCGGCAGGCCCACGACGCCTCGTAATACTAGGTTCCTTGACGCAGACATCCCTGTTGGAATTGCATGAGCAACTTGACCATGTGGGACAGAGGAAGATGCTCTACTCCGCAGGGAAGATGTATTGGTGGCCCTCGCTGCCATCGGATGTGTCCAAATTTTGTCGCGCATGCGTCATGTA